GAGCAGCTCTATTTGATCCATTGTCCCGGTCCTTCTGGTTATACAGGACTGGTCGATGGTGAGGTTCTCAACACTAAAGCAGTCCATATGGTGGCTGGTGGCTGGCCAGTAACCCTGAGTGTAGCCACCTGCAATCTGAGCAGAAGCAATTCTCTCTCTCTCTCTCCATTTTACAAATTCAAATATGATGGTTAGCAACTAAAACTGAATACCAGGAGATAAACTAAAGATCTCCACAGGTCATGTGAAGAAACAGAAACTTTGAGTAAGTCAAGTCAGTACAGAGAGGAGGACAAGACAAACATCCAGCTGTGGCAGAAATACCATGAGAGAAAGACAGGGAGCGAATTATGGTATCCAAGATTTGTCCAAGTTCCTGACGACTTTCTTTTACTAGATTATAGGTTCTTATAACAACATCTTCTAATCCCCATTACCTTTGAAAAATTCTGTAGGTCTCCATTCCTTGTGACCAAGATAGTCTACTTGGGGTCTCCCAAATGGACCTGGCTCCACCACAGCCTTCTCCTACAGTCCATATTCCCCTTTCTTTTCTATTTTTCCCATTAAGTTTATTGGTACATTTTAAGTATACAATACAGTTACATTCATCATTGGAATCTTGTACCTTTTCATGATGTATCTTGGATCTTATTTTTTCCTCATTCCTCTCCCCTCCCTCCACCCCCTCCACCCTTCCCTGTTTACAAAGTACATTCCCCTTTCTTGTTGGCTGTTTCCTATCCTTACACTGTTACCTGTGATGCTATAAACACCAGTTATTAACAATTTGTGACAAGATTATGTCCTTGTTTTTGAGCATTTAGCAAGGTGCATGCTCAAAACTAATGGCAGTGTTGACTCAGTGAATTCTAGTGGAGCAAAAGCACTGTAGTGAAGAGCTCTTGGAAGGAAAGTGATAGGGTTTATCATTAATAAGGGCAACTGAGCTGCAGAGTGGCTAGCGTTTACTTGAAGTTTCTGGTGCATTGTACCAACTAACCCAAAGAACCACAAGCCAGTTTATATTTTTAATATAAGCTGTTCAGTGTCATAGCAGCAAAATTAGTAATTCCCATCTCTCAGGAACCTGATCTCAGCCTACACTATTTTATCAGTAAAATAATTTCTTATAGTGAGTTGATTGTATCAAACACATGCTTCTAGCTGGTCAGCAATCTTTCCTCTTAACCTTTAATCTGCTCCAGGCTGTTCCTGTAGATTACAGGACAAATGGTGTTCACAGAATGATGGGTCTCTACAGATTGAAGGGGGCAGCTTCATCACCGCTGCTTGAAGGGTCAGTCTGGGCCTATCATGTAGGTATGAGGGTGGGAAGGGGAGCTAATGTGCATGAAGAGAAATGGTTCTGCGTATGCATGCTTTTCTTTAGAATGGGATATTAAGTTGTATCTAAAAAGTGTCATTATGGTGGTTTAGAAGGAAGGCAGAGAGGGAACCTAATTTCACAAATACATGGGGATTTCTTTTTCCTCTCTTAATTCCCTCTTGGAAAACACCACCCTCTGAATCCAGAGATTTCATCTGCTTTTCATCTGGAAGCTTCTTCTTTAATGGCTTTGTGACTCATGGGGCCCGGGTGATGGTTGCTTTTTCTGTGTATGGAACTATAATCCTTCTCAATTATCAAAGACATAAATTACTATTATTTCCTTACCAGATCGAACATCTCGCTTAAATATGTGAAAGAAAAATTGTTGGTTGTCTGGTGAATTTTCCTCTTGGAAAAACTGCCTATTCTTAATCTACCAAGTTCAATGAAAGTTCAAAAGTTTATCAGTGCAAACTCAACATTCTAATAATTCATTTACTAGCTTCTACATCCACAATAGGAGACTCTGGGTTGAGACATTTTGTCTCCGCTCTCATGTAACAGTAATCAAACAGCACATTTCCTGGGCATATCACAAATACCTATTGATCATAATCAGAGCACAGATGGTATGAAAGAGCTTGGCTGACACATAGGCCCTGATGTCAGTCACAGGAACAAATTGATTTTGACTGCCTGGCTACATTTCTCCTACCCAAGCAGAATTCCATTCAGTGCTGCTATTTGGAGAGTTTTGAGCAGAGAGTAATTCTGAAGGAGTGTCATAGTTCAAAGTTATTGTAAAGGTAAACTTGATTATTGAGAAAATAGTGATTTTAATGTTCTTCATACTTACCTTTACCAGAAGGAGGTCAATATTTGTCTCTGACGTTGAAAGAGCTCTCATCAATTTAAAATTTATCCTGATTTATGTCTGATAATTAGGGAAAGGAAAATCCTGATTTGCATTTTTCTATGACAGTGTGAAATGCCATTAATACTTTTCTCCAACTGGGATTTGTTTTCTTGCTCATTTTAAAAATTATTAATTTTCATTGAAATTACTAATGTGCTTGCACTTACACCATCAATCTTTCCCTTATGATGTGGGTATGTATATGCATGCTTGGAGAACAATGTAGGAATAAAGGGCCAATACCTCCAAATACTATAAAAACATTAAAATCCTCTGTAAGAGACAGATGTGAAAGGATCTTCTGTGATACTATCCATTACTGTCCATTACTTTGCTGCTTCATACATCAAGGCTGCCAGGATAAGTTCAAAAGGAAATGGATCTAACATCACCAATCAAGAGGTTTGGAATATGAATGACTGGAATATCCTTATGCCAGCTCCTAGTGCCAGGCTGGCATGTCTTCCACATAGTCTTTCTTTCTTGACACTTACCCATCCTATACCTTTTCTATTGAATTGCTCTACACCTATACTCTCACAGTGAGGGCAGCAGGAGCTAGGTGACAATGCTTTTATGTTACTTCTTTGTAACATCTAAGCCTGCTCTGCAGCTATCATTGATTATACCAAGAGTAGACATTTGACTCAAGGCCAAACAGTCTTTAGAGTGCTCTAAACCAACTAGATGCCTCCTCTCCAGAATTCAAGTCAAGAAACATGATTTGTAATCAGGTACTGTCAGTGGTTGGAATGCAAGGCACATCAGACATGTGAGAAGCAAAAGCCACAACAGCCTGGGCAGCCGTTTCCAGTCATGTGCACTCTGATGAGTCAGTTTAAAAAGTGCATCTATGAAGACAAGCAAGAGTAAAAGCTAGAAAAGTGATAGGAGACATCAACTCCTGTCAAGTGCAAAGGACAGCCTGGCTCTGGGGCCTAAGATGTTAAGGTTGTCAGACTTCCAGGGACCGGCTCCCCTGTGTCTTGAAATACTCTTGTGCCTGCCCGCTGTGCTTTTAAATAAGTCCAAGTTTTTCTCAAACTGGCTTCAACGAGTTTCTGTTCTTCATAGCCACATATGCCTTGACTGGGAAACCTTCTGTTAGAGAGATTTTAAGGGGAATGGCAGTGTCCTTAGCCTACCTACTCTGATGCCAGAGAACTCTGGAAGATGCAGCACTCTCATCTAGCTGAGAGGAGTTCTACAAAAGACTATGCATGAAAAAAAAGATTTTGTTGCTTATGTGTTCAGTCTCTCAACCACATCTTCAAAGCTCTCTGAGCATACCCTCTGCTTCTTGTTCTGATAACTGCCCCTGCTCTCCCCACTGACCATTTATTTAGAATATTCTGCTTTATTCATTGCTCCCTGAGGTAGATTAAAGTTGGTGCCACAATTTTTTCTCTTTTTTCCATTGAGAGATGGAATGTAACTCCCATTTCCTTGAATGCAGCCTGGTCCTAGTGACATACTGGAATGTCAGAATGCAGTAGAAGTGATATTTGGATCTGCCAGGGTTAGGTCATTGGAAGTCTGGCAACTTCTGCTTATGTCCCTGGGAACACTTTCTTGGAACCATAAACTGCCTTGTAAAAACTCCTACTACTGCCAGGCTGCCATGCTGTGAGATGCCTGAGACATGGTGTGGCAGATAGAAAAGACAGAGGAAGAGAACAAGAGAAGAGTAGTGAGAGTGGAAGACCAGTCACAAACTCCAAGCAACAGACTTATGAATGGGGAAGCCATTGTGGAAATAGCCCCTCCAGCCCCAGATGATACCTTGTAGATCCAGGATGAACTACTACCTGATCCCTTCCAGTATTACTGAAATACAAAAAAATGTGAGCAAAATGCAGTGCTTGTTTAAAACCACTAAATTCTGAGGTAGTTTGTTTATATACTCATGAACAACTGGCAAATTCCTAGTCACAGCAGGGCTGTCCCAGCCTTCTTGCCTTTCCTTATGTCATTCTCTAGCCCAAGAACATACTCTTCCTTCATCTCTACATCCTCTGGCAGTCAGGACAAGAATCTCCTTCTGAGAGGCTTTCCCTGATTACTCTTCTCTTCTCTAGCATGCTTGGACAAAGCTACTCTTAGAACCCTTTGATTATGCATTCTGTCCACCTCTTTGAAGATTTTAGTGGCATGTCCTCATGTCCCAAGGGAAGAGCCTTTGCTCCTGTTTTGATCTCTGGGCACCTTCGCAAAGACCTGGACAGATGAGAGTCAACATACACTGAAGCCCCTAAATGCTTTTGTCTTGAAGCTAAATAGATTTCATCACTTTAAATCAAATCTATATTGGTACAAGTCAAAAGTTTGTCTTCAGTTACATATTTTCCATTAGATGTTTAGATTTTGAAGTATTTTCTGGTTTTTATTTTCAGAATATATATAGGCTTTATACTTTTAGCTGGTGGGGAAAGCTCTATGGGTGAGACAGAAAACTATGGGGACAGAAACTCTATGGGGACACAGAAAGAAATTCAATGTACCATACATAATGGGCAGAATCTAGTGATATCCTCTGCTTGTTGTTGCCCGTACCATAGATGGGAGGTCAGAGTCAAGCTCTACATTTATTGTTCAGTTCTAGGTTGGATGAGGGAGAGAGTGTCTTTTAACCATATCATCTCTAAGACCTATTATGTTTAGATTTTTCCAAGTCCATGGAAATGAACTTTCCCATGTTGCCAATTTTTTTTTAATTTCTATGTATCATTTGGTTTCCCTTCCACAAACAATATTCTCTTTGCAGTGTTCAGAAAAGTCATTAGCGTCCAACCTCCTCAATTAGGCAGAGTAAACATGAATTACTCCGGATGGCCCCACACTGCACTAGAGTCAGACAGAGTTCAAGCAAAATGTTGGCCCAGGACCTAAGGATTTGACCATTGAAGTTTACTTCCCTTCAATCAAATTCAGATCACATCTTCCTGTACGTTTAACAATAAGCAATTAAATTATTTTCTTCAATTTTCAAAAGATCACTGTTCCCTCTTCTGTATATATCCATTTCCTCTTTTATTCATGGCATGTTACTAATCTATTATTGTATATGTACCATTCCTTTGTGGAATGATCTGCTGTTAGATTTTCCCATTTTTCTTAATGTAACCCTCACAAAATCAGCAACATGAATAACAGAAGAACCAAACTGAGACACAGAGATCTTTTGTAAGGGTGCAAAAGAAAAAGAAAGGATATATTTATTTCTGCTTCTTAAAGAATTCTATTTTAAAAAATCTGTGAAGTTATCACACTTCTCCCTAGAAATTACAACTGTATAAATTCTAATTTTTCCCGGTACTCAGTCACAGAATGTAGAGAACATTCACCACGTTCTATTCATGCTTATAGGTCGTGACTAAGAGAAATAGATTTTAGAGAAGATTTGATGTGGGTGTGCTCCTGGTGGGAGGAATTTCATGTTCCAATCTCCCTGCTGAACACCTAGAATATCAAAGACTTTGTAAAGTTTGTGCTTGACTCTTGTAAAGGAGGATGTGAAGTTACTGTGGGGTCATGGTGTGGTAGATCTCTGACATGACACCTTGAAGGCACACAGATCTGAATAGAGGGAAGCAAAGCAAGCCAAAGTGAAAAGTTCAAATGCATGTGTGTTATTCTTACAAGAGGTGACTGAAGGTTATTAAGGAGTAGCTTTTATACAAGTGGCTAAGAATCCACATTTCTAACAGGAATGCTTTCTCTTTTTTTCTGAGCTTTCTCTTTCTCACTTGTTGTCAGTTATAATGTCACACAGCACACAGGGACACATATACACAGAGCTTATTTATACTCAATATCTAATCTGTTGAAAAGTATGCACTTTTCTTGATCAGAATGCTGAATTGTGACATAGTCTTTAGTTCCTTAGCAACAAACTGTCATGTTACCCTTGTGAAGTTGTGGTCAGCTGAACAGATAGGGAACGTTGAGTTGTGATGGAGAAAATCCTTATTTTAATCACAAGTGTGCATAAGAACTAGAAAGATAATATGAAAAGGCAGGCAAAGAAGCTGCATTTGAACAAGTGTTTTTGATTAAGGTTTATGTGGGCACAGAAGTCCCCTTTAAATTCCTTTTTATTGAACAATTTCCTTTTGATTCTTGAGTAACTAAAAGAAAAACCATTAACCTGTGACTTAGAGCCCCATGGTAAGATTCCTTTGCCTGGGATCTTCAGAGTCTGACCAGACAAGAGGCTGCCCAGTGTGAGCACAGTCAGTTTTATTTCCCAACTGAGCTTTTCCACTGTCTCCTGGGTGCAGATGGAGGACAGTCAGCTGCAGCAGACAGTCCTCGTGTACTTTTGCTTTGCTTGTGATTGATTTCACAGAGGCTGGTCAGCAGACACTGACAATTTGTAAAAAGTTACCTCAGGAAGTATGGCACCAGGAAAAAAGCAGAGATTGCCAAACACTGGGGACACTGAGGACTCCAGCTCATTTTTCCTTGTTCTACTTGTTAAGGATGATGCAAAATAATGTTTTTAAAAAAATTTTTGGCTTTGTGAATAAAACCAAATCATTGAGCTGGGAATGTGGCTTAGTGGTAGAGCACATGCTTAGTATGTGCAAAACCCTACATTCAACCACCAGCGCCAAAAAACAAAAAAACAAAAAATAAAAAAAAACCCAAAACAAAGCCAAATCATTGAAATGGGAAAACATCAAAAGGCAAACAGACTTCTTTTTAAAAAAAAAGACAAATGAATAAAGTCAGAAAGACAAAAGAAAGCAAAGATTAAACAACCCTGAATGGGGGCCGGGGATTTAGCTCAGTGGTTCTGCCACCTGCCTTGCAAGTGTAAAGATCCGAGTTCCATCCCCGGTTCCACAAAAAAAAAGAAAGAAAGAAAGAAAAAGAAACAACCCTGAACATTTAAAAAATGCTGTATCAGTGCAATTTACCTCAATTCCCAGTTTCCATATTTAAATGTCTGATCAATCAATTCCAATGCAGACATGGTGTTTGAAGGCCACTTTTTAATAGTTTTATCCTGGTTCAGATTATTTGCAATCCAGGGGGAAAATGTGCATTCTGTGTGAAAGCAAATAGAAAACATATCTGAACACAAATCAAAAGAATGATTACCACACTCATGCTCTGTACCCATTACTGGGTCCCCAAGGCTCTCATTCTGTTTGTCTTGACATTTTTTTCTTGAGCAGCGTTTAGTTGGACCGGGTGGGAGAACATCAACCCACAAAAACCTCAGCAGAACACGAGGGTGGTGGAAATGGATGGGCTGAACAGATTCAACATCCTTCAAGGGCTTGGCTCTGCAAGCTTCACCAAGGGGAAGCTGCTGCTGGAAAGTCCTGCTGGGATCCCGTGGAGGGCTGTGCTGTGTGTGTGTGTCCGAAAGTGCCTGACCAGCTTTGGGAGGGGCATTGCTGCTCTGACTTCAGTCTCTAGCAAGCTCCCATTCAGTGGGTAATGAAAAATGGCATTTGCACAAAGTGGAGAGAAAAAATATTGTTTCTATAACACAGGAGACAACATATCATATCCTACAAGAAGAATTATCTGTATAACTTACTGTGCATGGCAGAAAAGTTGCAGCATATCTTTAAAAGAGCTGTCTCTATCCCGAAAAAACCACTTTGTCTCCCACTCCCTGCTAACAGAATAGCCAGTGTTTATAAGCAAATCCACTCAACCCCTTAATGATGACCTGGAATAAACATCTGACACACACTAGCTTTCAAGCTCTCCTGTGTTTAGGCATGAATTGTTCATTTCTATGCCTTTTGTATCCAGCCTGAAGGAAAGACAAATGATACAAGGGATGATTTACATTATCTATGGAGGCAGAGGTTATGGCTGGGTTTATCTGATCCTCTTTTATTGTATAACAAACAGTGAGATAACCAGCCTCGTACACAATGACCATTCAATTTGAGCCACCCATCCCATTTCCATGTTGACTTTAATTTTAAAATGTATTAAAAGACAGGCTGTTGTATAGTAATACAAGTCTTTGTTGGCTCTAGTAGGTGTGTAGGAAAAAGGTGGGCTTCTTATTTGGTGTTAGGCTTCCTCTCCTCTGACCTCTCCATGGACCTGAAAAGGCGATGGCCCTGGGGTTTCTCTTTATAATTGTACCAGGAGAATTGGTCTCCATTTTGTAAGGTTAAGGTGGATGCCCAGCTCAGGTTGACTTTGAGTTTTATGCAGAGTACTGGAAACTTGGAATAAATTAACCATTAGTAAATTAACACCATGGGGTTTACATATGAGCCTGAAGAATAGGTAAGCCTGTGTCTTAGTCATTTTGTCATTGCTGAGAATCAATCTCGAACACCAACAAATTAAAGAGAAAAAGTTAATTTTGACTCAGTTTTTACAAGTTTCAGTCCATAGTCACCTGGTTCTAGGAAGAAGCAGCCTGGGAGGGGATGTGTCTGCATGTAGGAAAGCTATTCAGATAATGGCAGCCAGGAAGCAGAGAACTAAAGGAGAAGCCGGAAAGGGAGACATATCCTACCCTGTCATGACCCCAAATGACCTGCCTCTTTTGACCAGGCCCCACCTCCTAGCATCACATTCAGCTATGGCACCCCACGATTCAATCACCTGTGAGTGTTGACTTTGTAGGGGGGAGGGTAACCTAGATATAAGTCATAACAGCTTGCTTTCCTTGAGCTATCAGTATGGCCTGGAAGGAGGTTTTACTATGTGAAACCCATCATAGGCCTTCAGGAACCCTGTACAACTCTGAACATGACACCCAAGACTAAATTCACCAAGTATGCCCTTTGGAACAAACTATGCATTCTCATGTAGCAGGAATTGATCTCTGAAAAAAAAAAGAAAAGCCTTCTTAGATGGCTAGGATCTTTCCACTTCTGAACATGACAGTTTTGAAATTTGTCTTATCACTAGCTGCAGGTGATCCTTCTGGAACTTATGGAGGTAGGGTGTGGTCAAGACAGTGATAGTAGAAGATGAACTCACGGTGATGGAGCTATGATGGTGGTGGTGGAAGATGAGTGTGGTCCTATCAGGTCCCAAATCTTTCTCTGAATTTGCTCAAAGAATGTGGGGAAAAGATTTTAGTTCTGCGTTAGAAGAAAGGAACAAACTCTACTACTCATTTTTCTGATTGACCGTAGTCATAAAACCTGAAAAGAATATATGAGTACTTTAAAAAGTAAATAATAGAGCCAGGGATTTAGCTCAGTGGTTCTGGCGCCTGCTGCACAAGCACAAGGTCCCAAGTTCAATCCCCGGTACCAAAAAAAAAAAAAAAAAAGTAAATAATAGCTAGTAAATGGAGAAAAAGACCGGACTTTGATGTACTGCTAAACTGGTGGTGACTTGATCATTTTTTCTTTCTGGGAGTTCCCATCCTGAACTCAGTGCAGCCGGAAAGTCAGAAGTAGGCATCTAGGAGCAGAGAGCTCAGAAGAAGCTGGTCTAAGGAGCAGGATAAGAGGATCCTAATTCAAAAAGAGTGCAAAAATCCAGCATTTCTTTTTTTATGTTCTGTATCCCTTCCACCCCAATTCCCAAGCGGCCCTTAATGGCAGCAATGGGAACAAAGAAAGCAATGACGAGTAGAAATCAATGAAATGGAAAATAGGAAAATAAGAGAAGAAAAAAAAGGAACCTAAAAGTTGGTTCTTTACAAGTGTCATTGAAACCTCTAGCAAGGTGGAGCAAGGGAGAGACTTACGATACCAAGAAAGGAAAAAAAAGATACTGCTATAGATCCCACAGATAATTTCTTTAAATCATCAGGAAATACCATAAATAACTGTAAACACATAAATTCAACACTTTGGGAAAATTGTTTCAATTATTTGGAAAGCCCAAACTACCAAAACCCACCAAAATAGAATAAATTTAACTGGAATAGTTTCATAACTATTAAATTGAATTTGTAGCTAAAATTTTCCCAAAAAAGAAATTTCCAGGCTTCAGATT